TACCTTTTCTCTTTAGTCGTTTGGAGCAGTGGATGTCTTTAATACAAAAACATCAAAATTTGGTTGGGTTAACTGGATCCTGCACTGCCTTATTATCCAATATCTAAGTAATTTCTTCTCATGACTTCTATGTATCAAATATCGGATACCTTGTGAATTCTGGTCAGTCGTACTCAAGAGTTTTTGAAAATCCTCCGGAGTTAGAATCCTTCTTAGATCCTACCTGAATCTAGACTTAATATCTAGGAATTTAAATGGTTTACGCATCTCATTCCCGTAGGCTTCCACTAGTTTATGGATGGAGGTGTGATTAAGCATTTCATTGATTATGTCCCAATGGTAATTCCTCATTAAGTTGCAAAGCCGATGAGCATAACGGCATAACACTTTCAACAATTCAAACAAGTCGAATGACACTATTGATTCACAATTTTCTTTTTTTGTCCGGCTATAATCGGTACATTTTTTGCAATCTTACTTCCATAGTTTGATCGAAGTTATGAGGGTCTGCTCAGTGAGGCGGAAGTATACGTGGTATTAACAACTTGAGGTAGAGAGAACACAACACCTCTAATAGCAGAGATATGGTGTAAGTGATCCAATGAAGTTACTGAACTAGGCAGGTAAGACACAAATCCTACGGGATAAGAGGAGGACTTTGATAGAACCTGGATGAATTGGATTTCGGACTAAAAGGGCAGACTCGGATCAACACTAAGCACACGAATGCGGGGTACTAGGGGACCAGCGGGGAGTGTGAATTGGTCTTACTAAATCTTCTCCAAAAGGCACATCTGAATTAGACTTAAATAAGCGAGTAAGACATTGTGATAGTGAAGAGGTGGTACGAGGATATAGGAAAGATGAATGCATCAAGACAGGCGAGCTACCACAACTGTTCATCAGACAATTGGTCCAAGGATCGTCGACTTCACCTGCCTTTATGACGAGTAAGTGTGATGCTAAGAATTACAAGGCTACTTGACGATGTAGACTACAAGGCCGGCAAAATGTATTGGAATGTACCAAGTTCACAATCCGACTCTAGAAGTTATCATGGATACTATGGACTCCTGACAGGTTGTATTCTTCTAGATCTCTTTGGCAATAAGACCAAGTTTCGAAAAAGAGGTTAAACCCCTTCTATTCAACAAAAGGACACTGCGACCCTAATAACGCCCACAGTATCTTGGCTACATATCTTTGATTAAGATATTTATTGCATATAGTATAATGCCATTACTTGTGTATTTCAAGGGAATTATTTATCATATATGACCATTATATTTTCCAAACTACTTATCATATTTATAAAATAATATTTTTATTTAAAATGTGCCGTAAACAAATCTTTATCTCTTTCCCTTGATTCTATATCATTTTTCAACAGTTTGGTCTGGTTTTCTCTGAATATCTTCGACTTTATTGGGTCGTCAGAGTCGAACGTTAGTTCGGCCAGTCCACTACCCACCTTTGAGACATTCATCAAGCCAGCTAGCATCTTCAGTTTGCCTGGTTCAGTGCTTCGTGTGTGTCGGCATCTCCTTCGTCTTGGTATAGATGGAACCGATAAGGATGCCCAATCAACTCAGAATATTCCCTTCTCGACTGAAAATTCTAGTTCAAATGCCCGACTCTCTTCTACTTCTACCGTGAGCTCCACTTTCAGTGGAGCTAAAATTGATTCAAAATATTATCTACCCGTAAATCCAGGAGCACTTCAACTGGCTGATTACTCTAGGCCAAACCAGATAATGGCT